AAGCTGTCTGTAACAACTAGCCTATTTCATAGTGTATATCGGTTATCACATACCTATGTATAGTGTAATCCTGAAAAATTCAATAATAAACTGATCTTTAACATTGTATTTAAGAACTCAGTAAAGCTGGATAAAAAATAACGTTACTCTAGAATAAATCTTCCAAAAGATCTTTTGTTTCCGCCTCTGATGTTGCAATCAATGAAGCAAATTAAAACACGTTTAAGACTTCATTAGTTGACTACCCAACTAGCTAGGGACGTCTAAATTAGTTCACTTTCTGCCAAACATTTACGCAAATTGCTTATTTATTGTAAATAGGTCCTTACTTAGTTATGTAACTGGTATTATGTATGCCATACCAGCGCTCATCAAAATAATTATTCCATTCTTAGGGTTGGTGTTTTTGAAACCTGAAAAGGGTTTTTTTATTATTTACTGGGTAATCTCTGGATCTTCTGAACCGATTTAGATGAAATTTGGTAAAAAGATAGTTTGAGACCCTGGGAATGACATAGGATACTTTTTATTCCGGAAATCGTCCCTTTAATGGTTGAAAATGGGGATGAAAGTTTGTATGGGGAATCAACCTAGGGACGAACCCGAGCGAAGCGAGGGTGAGTCGCTAGTTTATAATAAAATTAATAATGTCGTATATATATATATATATATATATATATATATATATATATATATAATTCTTCTGTGAGTGTGTATGTCACTGAACATCTTTCAAACGACTGGACCGATTTTGATAAAAATTTTTGTGTGTGTGTTTGTTGTGTGTGATCTGGGAATGGTTTAGATTCACAATTTGAATAATAATTTTCATCAAAAAAATTATTAAAATAAGTTTGAAATTTTCAAATTAAAGACGTGTAGACAGGACAACGTCTGTCGGGTCCGCTAGTATATATATATATATATATATATATATATATATATATATGATAATTTTAATCACTGTAATCGCAAAACATTAGCAAAAACTTATAATTCGTATGAAACACTTCTGACGCTACTACATTAAAAATGCTTTTATGTTTTTGTGAATGGTTCGCTACAACGCGAATAGCTGTAACATCTTTCGACCGAGGTCGAGTTCTATTGTTTTATTTAGACGTGGTAAATATAGTGAAAAATTTTCACCGCTGTACAGCACGTTATAATTTTTTAAACCACTTTAAAAAATTTAAAAACAAACTATACAAATAATGCTGCATCAAAATGATTAAAAATTATAATTTCACACAAATGTTATAAAAAGTAATATAATATTTGCAGAAACAGCGCGTGTCATGATAAGATCATAAATCCACATTAACATTAGGAACCAGTCGTAAGATTGCGTTTAAGTAAAAATAAACTAATTTAGTGAGCAAACTCCTCATTTATTTCAATTTACCTCAAGCTGCTTTAAGGCCTTTTTATTATAAGGCCGTACAGTCAAATCTTCGAGTTTGTTTTCATGGCACGTCTGCAGTTGCGCAATGTGCAACGTGACGTCACGACGACAGGAAGTCTATTACCGCACTTGATCCTTTTAGGCTAAACGGATATTCAGCTCAAGGGATTGTCTCTTTCCTATATACAAAGTTATCATCTGTTTATAGATTGTCTTTGTAAATCTATATATTAACACATGAAGAGAAATTTGTACCTCTCTATAAACGTATGGCGGGTACGGAGGAGAATGAGCTTTGACATAGTTAAAGTTGGTAAGTAAAGATAAGGAGGTGAGACAAAAGCTAAAATACATTGAGTTGTCTTGACGCATATCTCCGCTCGCTTAGTTTATTTATGTACTTATAATTTTTTAAGTTTCAGCATTCAGCTGAAAAGTTTGTTTGTGTGTCTGAACGTGCTATAAATACTATGCGAAAAATCTGTTTACATTTTAAGGTCTATTTAGTGAGGAAAGTTACACGCTATGTAAATAAATATGTATCACATAAAAACTTAAAAAAATAAAATAAAAACCGACTTCCAGGCACTAAAATGTAAAAAATAATTAAACGGAGGTTTTCATATAGAATAGATATATACCTATAAGCCAGTCTACAATATTTTAAGATATAAATATCTAATAGGTAAATATGTACTTTACGTATCGAAATATATTAGATTTGCTTTGTATCGGCTGGCAACGACTTCGAAAATATCTGATTAGGTATCTATACTAAATGAAAACCCCCGTTTAGTTATTTTTTACATTTTAGTGCTTCGAAGTCGGTTTTTATTATTTTTTAAAAGGTTTTTATTTGTCAATTTTTAGTGTAGACGTAATAAGCAGCTAATTTGTTAGAAGAAAGTTTTTAATAACATGTTTGATTAAGCAATTTATTTAAAAAAATATGTAATTTATTTGTTGATTTAAAAAAAACCGGTTGACCGATTTCGATAAAATTTATATGGGACCACCTGGGAAGTATACTCTTTAAATCAAAAAAAATCGAAATCGATTCAGGCGTCTTCGAGTAATCGGTGAACATAAAAAAAACAAAGATTCCGACGAACTGAGAACCTCCTCCTTTTTGGAAGTCGGTTAAAAATAACCTCAATGACGTTCAGACTTAATGAATTATGGTCGAAATTAGCGCAAAAAACAAATATGTAAATTAAAAAAAATGATGAAGCTTAAAGCTTTGTCGACATAAAAGAAAAAATAATAATTTTATATATATATATATATATATATATATATATATATATATATATATGAATAATAATGCTAGCTCTCAGACAATATTTACAATAACATTTCATAATGAACTAAATTTAGCGGCGCCTTGCGAGTCTGTAGGCAGTTCGCAAGAATATTGTGTCGCCGACAATATCACGAGTCCTTTATAAGATATTGAATGAATGGTATTATAAGAAAATTCAAAGCTTATCGTTTTTTTGGCAGCTCGTAAAGCAAGCAACGCTTTTGTGTTATTCAATAGGTTTTTTAATAACTTTCGTTCAATGTTAATCATTATAATATACCTATATGTTTTTTTGTAAAAAATAGAATACTAAATTTTTATAAATACCAAACAAGCTTTTTTCGGTAGATTTATCTGCAATAATATAGTCCTCCATAAGGTTCTGAACTACATAGAACTGGGAGTTTAAAGTTATCCCCAAGCATTTAATTGAATATACCTACCACAAATTCATATTTGGAAAATTTTATTTAGCATTAAATCATTACATTTTTTATTGAACGTCATTAGTTTACTTCTAGTTCGGAAAGAAGAAGTCAAACTTGAGAAGAACTGTTAAAATTTGTTTTTATCTTTTTTCTAAAATTAATATACTAATATTAACTGATAATTCTGCAACATTGGAATAGCTCGAAGGCTAAAACGGAACCTGTACAATTCGCTATAACCGTACGTCACAGTTATTTTTTTAAATTCAGTTAGTTCAATTTTTAGTGTTTTACTTATACCTACTATGCACTTATATACTAAGAGTTATAACCCCTCTAGCAAAGTGTGTGTAGAAACAATATATTACCACAAACATCTCTGAAGTAGGTACTATGTTTAAAAAATATTCATCGTAAAACGTGATTAGACTGGTTTATTTTCTCAGATTTGTATTTTTCTATATAAAAGTTGAAGTTAAAAATAATTTAGTCTTGGCGCTCTGGGAAATACCTCTCATAAATATCATGCAGTCGGAAGAAATTAATCAATAGGATCTACGAGTACATTCTTAAAGGCTATTATATCTATAAATATTTATTGATATTGAATGCTGTGTTTAAAATTAAAATATGTCATGAAATTAGAATTTTTAAAGATAACTGGGTATAAATTTTACCAAAGCTGTTAAAGTTTCTTTAAAATACTTCAAATTTTCACTGTAAAACTTTGAAATTATGACTCGACCGAATGCCTGAGTGCACTTTGATCATAGATGCAGGAGCCTCAGTCATTATACTCTGATTTCATATTTCCTGCTTTTAAGAGATGCCAGACGTATTTGCATAAAAGTTTTAAAATAAATTAGTTGTGATATAACATGTGTTTGATTTACGTGTAAAACATGGTTCTTTCAACAATAACAAGAGTTGGTACTCTTGTTATTTTTATACCGCAATTTATTTTAGTAAATACATGTCTATACTAATATTATAAAGAGGTAAAATTTGTGAGTTTGTGACGTTATAGGGGGTAATTTCTGGATTTACTGAACTGATTTAGACGAAATTTGGTAAGAAGATAATTTGAGATCCCGGCAAGGATTCCATCGAGTGTTATTTGATAAATATAAGAGAAATATTTTATCCCGGAAATCATCTCTTAAGGGGGTGAAAATGGGGATGAAAGTTTGTATGGGAAATCAAGCTAGGGACGAACCCGAGCGATGCGATAATGAGTCGCTAGTATGATATAAATTATTTATAATCTAATAACTACATATAATGTGATTTAATCTCGAAAGCGTCATGGCCACATAGAAATCAAGAGATTTTATATCTAATACACTTTTTTCAACGCGAAATATACCTATCGAATTTCAAAAAATATAGGTGTAGTTTCAGTAAATAAAGTTAGCCTGAAAGCCTGCTGGCTTTATTTAATCAAATCATTGGCCCCACGCGCGTGCTCTTTTGATTCAATTTTATCTATGGGTGTTCGTACAAATGATAGGTTATTATTTTAATAATATTTTATACGAATGAATAATTTTATTTTGAAATGGAAAATTGTTGAGTATTTATTTCTCAGAGATTTCATATGAATAGAAATATTTAAGTTGACATTATGTCAATGGTGTTTTATCGGGTCGAAAGACTATAAAAAACTTAACAATTTGTTCATTTTTGAAAATAACGTTTACTAAAAAACACCTTGATGAGATTTCAGAATAATTAAATTGATTGAATATTTAAAATACAGTACGAAGCAGAATTGCATCGTCTAATATATTTTAATTTCCTATGAAAGTGCGGCGGGTAGTATAAAGCTCACTTTGTTTCTATTACATGTAAAATATTGTTATAGCATCCTGTTTGCGGATATCGTCGGCTTCACGGTGCTCGCATCGCAGTGCAGTGCGCAAGAATTGGTGCGGCTTCTCAACGAGCTTTTTGGCAGATTTGACCAGCTTGCCAACGTAAGAAATGTTTTATTTTCATATAATTTTAATAGCATACTTAATTTTATTTTCCAGTATAAGCAGCTGTTGAATCTCCATCGTAAACACCTGTCGTCGCAGACGCATAAAACAAGGTTACATTTTATCATTATGGTGCCACTAAGAATAATTTAAATCGCAATGTCGTATCTATTAATAATGCGTTAATTTAGAGCGAATGCTATATTTAAAATTTGTTTGGATAGTTATGTCAGTCCAGTGTATTGATCGTTGTACGAATGTTTACGTGTTACGTGGGAGTTGTTAACATGGCTGTAGTAACGTCAACAACATAATATTACAAAGTTATTTTTATATAATATTCTTGAAATATTTTATTTATATATTAAGACAATTCTATGATAATATTATAATTTGAAAGTTCTAACATCAATCCAGCGAATGGTTTATGTAATTATTTGATGAATAATGTTCTTCTAGTCTTCTAGAAATCAAATCATTTTAACATATTTATGTAATAACACTTGATGGAAGTGCAGCACGTCACTCAAAAGCTCATAATTTTAACAAAAATAGAAACAAATACTTAATAATGAACGGAGTATTTACATCTTGAAGCTTCCGGAAGTGTGTGGTTGTTTGCATTAACATCGTAAATTAAAGTAGGAATTTGTAGTGATAATTTTTAACGGCTACTTAAATTTTACCGAACTCTTCGTTTTAAAACTTCTTAAAGAGCTCTTTTATTATTCTATTTATTACTTTATTATCTATACCTACTGATCTATACTAATATTGTAAAGAGGCAGAGTTTGTTTGTTTGCACGGACTAATCTCAATCTCAGGAACTGCTAATCCGACTTGAAAAAATATTTTTGCATTATATAACCCGTTTATAATTGAGGAAGGTTACACGCTATACATATATCATCATGCTACTACCCAAGGGAGCAAAGCAGTAATCATAAATGTCAACGAACCGGGCAGACTTCCATAAATTATTGTAAAACTGATGTTTATAATATGTTTAAGTGCTTTAAGCTCAGAAACTACTGAGTCCATTTTAAAAATGCCTTTTGAATAAAGCCAAAGAGTTTTTTAGTTTAAGTGCGAACGAAACCACGGGTTCTGCTAATATTTACAATGTACATATATCTGAAAAAATAATACTAGATAGAAGGTATTTTATTGCGTTAGCAACATTTTACTCGTGCATTTATAAGTAGGACTATTCTAGGCTGTCTCGATGAAAATGTCTTGTTTTGGAAATTAGGATACCTATAAATTTGTTCCCTCCAGACTGAGTAATTTGGGTTTACGATATGACCCACTTCCTAAATTTTGTCGGATTCTTATAGGTGCGTCTATCTTTGTTTTTACTGAAGAAACATTAAGTAACTAATCATTATAAAATTCTTACTTGTCTAGCTACTTAAAGTACTTACTGTAATAAATAAATATTTTTATAATTAGGGTCCTTATCATCAATTTACTTCAATAAATTCTGTAAATTATGTTCGTAAATGTGTACAGGAAAGCTTCATATTCTTATATTTTAAAAATAAGTGACTTTACAACATGCATGTAATGTAAAAGTTTTTTCAGGATAACCACTGTCTCCGCATCAAAATCTTGGGTGATTGCTACTACTGTGTGTCGGGACTGCCCGAGCCGCGCTCGGACCACGCGCGTTGTACCGTTGAAATGGGACTCGACATGATCGATGCTATTGCGTAAGTTATCCTATACTTAATATTAATATTTTTTTGTTTGAGTACATCAACATGTTAATATAATTAACTTTACATTACAAATGACGTAGAACATCATTCCATTACCTTATGAGACGCACTACCGGGGTAAAAAGTTTATGCACATAGGCTTTTTATGTCATTTTTTATAACACTATGACTGTTTATAAACTATGTATGTATATGCAGAAAAACTTGGAGCTGTTGCTACGTACAAAAGGCAACTAAATAATACACTCATTTGCATCACTAATATAAGAAATTTTATAAATATTATACACTTATAAATTGTATAAATTTTTTAATGGTTGCTGTAACTAACATACGGACAGTTTTAATATTACTCTTCAAAAGTTTTATAGTGTTCATTTCAATAAGCCATTCAGACTAATTGCTCGTACTGAACACACAGTAGATCGCAACTTCTATTAATATCTAGTTACTTTTGATTTGCTCAATATAACAGGAACGAGACGGAATGTCGTATAAAATATTCCTATATTAAAAGCCTATGAATGTGTTGACGAATGTCTTTATTTCGGTGACTATACCTAAATCTAATATATTTAAACGAGCAATTCTTGTATGTTTATTTATACTGGCGATCTCGGAAACAGCTGTAATGATTTCGCTGAAATTTGGTATGTAGGGCGTTTTCAGGGGCGAAAAATGGATCTAGATTAGTCTTATGTCTTGAAAGAACGTGTGATCGATAAGGTTTTTTAGCATTATTCCATGCAAAATATGATCGAAAATTTCGCATGCTCGGGCCTATGCATCGTGATAAAGCGACCAAGGCACAAGATTGACAATCATAGGTGTCCAGGTCGAATCCCGGTCGGATACAAAAAAATTATTTTTGAATGTATTTATTCAAGTTTTTAGTTAAAAAAAAAATTGTACTTTCGGCCAAAAACTCCGAAAGTAAACAACGACAGTATTTAGTTGACATAAACAAAATCGCGAACCTTTTTAAAGTGTACGAAATAAATGCTTTATAATCACGCAACAATATTTCAAGTCACGAGTAACCTAAATATATGTAATACACTAATTTAAATGAATATGAATGTCAACCGTTCCTTTGGCATCGACTGACATAATAAATTAAATTTTAACGATCCTACACTACTAGGTACCTGAAACATACATGGTACACTTTACGTACTGCTAATATACAGTATAATATGTCGTTAATTATATTTGAGCGTCCTCTATTTCTTATATCGACTATATTTAATAATAATAATAATAATAAATACTCTTTATTGTACACCCACTACAGAAAAAAGAAAAAAAAAATACAAGAAATATATAAAAAGAGTTATGTACAAGAGGCGGCCTTATCGCTAAAACAGCGATCTCTTCCAGGCAACCTTAAGGTGTTGGAATTGACAAACTGTAAGAGGGAAGGGGTGTGAACTATATAGTAGTAATAATAATAATAATAAAACCATAATAATAATAATACAATAATAACAATAATTCATTTTTAATACTATGAATAAACTTACATATCAAAGATACATACATATGTACATAATAATAATATTATATTTACATAAATATGATAAGATTAATACAAGACAAAATACTTATAATAATAATAATATTTAATATATTATGGGTACATAAATATATAAATAATATTATATCATATTAAATAGATAATAATAGAACTTATAAGTAAAATGGCATTAAAAAAAGACAAACAAAGATGGTAAAAAGAATATGGTTTAAAAAGAGTGAAAATGCAGTTTTAAACGGTTTTTAAAAGTATTATACGTTTTGGCGCCTCTTACGCTCAAAGGGAGAGAATTCCAAAGTCGTGAGGCTGTTACACAGAATGATTTATCACTAAATGAAGTGGAATGAGGAGGTATTTTTAAAATTAAATTTTGACAGGAGCGCAAGTTTTTCGAATGAGAAAGACCCAGAAATTTAAATTTATCTTTTAAATAGGGAGGAGAAGATGGATCAAACAGAACACGGTAAAGAAGATGAAGGACATGCGTATTCCTGCGAAGGCGAATAGGGAGCCACTTGAGCTTTCTGCGAAATTCAGAAATGTGGTCATATTTTCGCAACCCAAATATGAACCGTATACATAAATTTTGAAGCCGCTCAAGCTTATTTAATTGCTCCTCTCTTAGATCAAGATAACAAGAGTCAGCATAATCAAGGATAGGTAGTAGGAGAGATTGTGCTAGCGCAATTTTAGTAGGAATGGGGAGAAAGTTGCGTAACCGACGAAGTGATGCTACGGATGCAAATATTTTCCTGCTCGTCTCACCTAACTGCGGAGCCCAGGACATATTCTGGTCCATAATCACGCCTAGGTTCTTGACAGTGTCACTATAAGGTATAATTATGCCATTTAATAGATCTCTTAACATATCTCCTAAAGTAGTCGACTGGTTTCTTTCTTACCTGCGTGGACGCCGACAGCGTATACGGATTCATGATTCGTATTCCGACTGGTCAACAGTCAAGTCAGGTGTTCCGCAGGGTGGCGTGTTGTCTCCTCTTCTTTTTTCAGTATTTATTAATACATTATGTCATCACATTTCTTCTCACTACCACCTGTATGCAGATGATCTACAGATTTATATTCACGCGAAAATTACTGAATTACCGAGAGCGATTGATAAAATGAACGAAGATTTAAGGAGTATAGCCTCATGGAGTAGATCTTTTGGACTCCATCTTAATCCGGCAAAAACTCAAAGTATAATTATTGGTAGCTCGAAACTCATTGCTAGGGTCGCGTCGTTATCGACTATATTTAATATATTCGAACATGATGATGAAGTTTTGGTGAATATTTAAGTTCACAGGCTCCCGTAGCTTGTTATCTAAACATGCTATCATGGATTATCCTATATTATCCTTCCTGAAAGACCACTTAATGGCAAAGTTATAACATTCCATTAAAAGCAGCTTTATTAAGCTCTTGAGCATCTTGCAGCTAGAGAAATACAAAAGTTTATTGGATTCCTATTATATATACATATTTCTTATTTATTATCGTTGAAAAACAGCGAAAACTACATTTTAGTAAGACTACAGACATTGAGATTATTGATACTTATTTAGTCATAAATAATAAAAATAAATATATTTTTTATTTTTTTTAATCGAAAAATAATTCTGTATCGCCTCAGTGGAACTGATCTACTCAATTATGTAAGGACATTTATGTGTATCTCACAAGGCCCCTACGCTTGTCTGGATGACATTTGATGTGATATAACCCCGTTAAGCTTGCCTCGTATTATGACAAGTTGACTACCAAGCATTGTATCGTTACATTTTATATATTATTTTTTTATTAAGATAATAGTTTATATGAAGGAAGTAACTTAAAGAATATATAAATAAATGTTAAGATTTTTTATTTATTTATAATTAATTGACAATTATTATGCGTATTTTACCGGAAGGGCTACTTCAAATTATTATGCGTATTTTACCGGAAGCGCTACTTCAAATTAGGGGTTATATTAATTATTACCTCACCAGTTACCTCATATATCATAAAACTCATCAAAACCAAACTCAAAAAATTTTTTTTACCCATATTCCAAAATTCTCTATAATTTTAGTTCTTTTCTGTAATGGTAGTTTATTACTAGTAGCTTTCCAATACAAACTTTCATCTCCAATTTCACTCCCTTAAGGGATGATTTCCGGGATAAAAAATATCTCTATATATATCCTTCCCAGGGACTCAAAGTATCTTTTAGCAAATTTCATCTAAATTGGTTCTGTAGATCCAGAGATAACCCCTACAACTTCACAAACTCACAAACTATACCTCTTTATAATATTAGTATAGATAACATAGTAAACTACGTTGTTATAGGGCGATGTGTGACTACATAATACACTTATTTTAACTAAGAAATAGTTTTACGAATATTTTTACGACTATAAATTATAGTTTTTATTAAACGCTACATCATAACTAGAGGAAACTCTAACTAGAAGGATAGCTGTGAAGGTAAATTTTGCAATATGTTAATATACCGTAATAATTATGAGCAGAGCGCAAGCTGCAAAATAAACGTCTTTCTCATTAAATGTGGCTTGGACGTTGTGTTGAGAGTTGGCCAAATAAATAATGTTTTTATTACGTGCTCGAGCCCGCCACGCTTGTCGCCGTGACAGCGGCTGACGTAACGACTAACGCTTGCTTCCTCTATACCCGCAGCCTACACTTGTCCATTTGTCACAACTCAGTCTCCGCTCTCAAAAGCGAATGAAGATAAAATCTCAACATTGATTTATTTCTCTGAAACTATTTTGTTTAATCAATCACTTGATCTCTTTATACTGTTTGTTCTAAATAAAAGGTATTTAATTTTTTATGCAAAGAAATATTTGACATTTGTAAGTAAGTATTAATGATTCTTCTAAAGATTTATTTATCTCTTTGCCAATATTATTTTTTATAGGTACAGTAAACAGCATATTGTAATTTACTTAGCACTCTGAAAATCCTAAACTCTCATAAGAGCATCAGTGTGGAACAGTTAGATTACACAGCTTCATAAATTGTTATCTATACATATAATAAAATTCTAACTAAGTCGAATCTGTACATTAAATATTTTTTGGAAAATCTTATTGCAATAGACATTATTATCGAAACAGAAGCCGAATCTATAGTTTTTAGAATTTTTGTCTGTCTGTCTGTCTGTCTGTTACCGCATCACGGAAAAACCACTGGAGGGATTTTGATGAAATTTAGTATGATGGTAGCTGGTTATCCGGGTCAACATATAGGATACATATCTCACTTCTGAAAAAAAAATACAAAAACTGCAATGTAGGAGTATACTAAATATTAGTAATAATTAAGTTTTATATGTATTCAGCCCTTCTTAACGTCTCACTGCTGAGCACGGCCCTCCCTTCAATATGAGGGGGATCAGGCCATACTCCACCACGCTGGCCAAGTGCGGGTTGACAGATTCACA